GGTGAATAAACTTGATTCAGAGTGACAGCTCGGGCCCTCTTGAGCTGTCGGTTGCAGTGTGCACCTTCTCTTTTTCTGGCCTACTCTTTTAGACTGATTTCCCTAACTTTATTGTACGGTTATGTAGTGATTGAGACAGAAGAACTAAAGGAGTGAAAGCTGGTGGTGAATTCAGGTGCCACTAGAGGTAGTTTGTTAGTATGGCTGTGCTATAAAGGCAACAAATCAAACTTCCTCGTTCTATCCATGAGTTTGGACCTGTTCTGATTTCAGCGTATCCTCATCCGTATCGTACACAGTGGTGTGAGGTGTTTGCCTTCCTCTGTGATGCCTACAGGATGGGGACCTCTCCTCTGTTCCATGAGATGAGCCTGGTTCTGCTTATGCTGAAATAACAAATTCTGCTCTGGACCTCAGCGGCAGCTGTGTCAGGGTCCCCACCTCAGCTGTGTGCTGCTTTCTGGCATTCGCGGTGCACGTTTTGATTCACTGCAATAAATAGGACGTTACCAGCGATACGTGGTTGATAAAATGAAGGTGTTTGGGAAGAGGCCTCGTTCATGTTTGCTCTGATGAGCCTAGTGATTTCCATTGTTCTAGTGATGTGGGGAATTAGAGAGAGACCTGTAAACGGTGCTCTCTAGCAACACCCATCAGTGTTCGTCAGCCTGTTGTGTGGTCCATGGAACATATAGAGGTGGTTTATAATGCTGTTGAAAAGAGGTTTTCTTGGGGATTTTTTTTTTCATGTCCACTCATGCAAACTTAGGTATAGGAGAACACAACTGAAATGGGGAGAATAAATAAACAAACAATAAATAACTGTTAAAAATTGAACAAATTAGTATTTATTATGAGTGCATATAGTTTTGGTGGCTCTACACAATGTTGTCCTTGAGTTTCAGTAGACTGGAAAGCACTGGGCTATGGTGTAGAGGCTTCTGATTAGTACTGGTAAATCTTGGTGTGCCTTTACTGCTTTCAGATATTTGTGAGACATTTGTCTTAATATTTAATTTGTGAGAATGTGTTTTCCAAAGGCTCTTTTGCCATCCAGACCTTCAGAGTTTGAGGGGAATGAACAGTGGCCCTTGCTTCATACTTTACTAAAGATTAGGATATTTTAGCATTACAAATGAGGCAATATTTGCTATTAATTTTTTTCATACTCTTCAACCTCTTAATTCCAGTGTGTTTCTACTTAGGTACCCTGCTCCTGTACTTTTTCCTCTTCTGCTAAAGCTGATACTGCATTTAATTGTTGAAAGCACAACAGCCACTTCTGAATTTGCTCCAGTGGAAACAGTGACTCTCAGAAGCTTCTACTTTATGTAGAAAAGAGTAATTTACTGGGTTTTTGGTTAAAACGAAGTGAAGCAACTGATAGCTACAATAAATAAAATATTCATAAATTCAGCAAGCTTTAAATATTTTTCTTTTATCCCCAAACCAGCGTATGTTTAGCCAGACCCGTATCGGCGTGCACAGTTAGTTTTACAGTCAATAAAAATGTAGGCATTGGCTTCGTTAGGTGCAAGAACAAATCCTTCTGACCTGGGTGTATAAAACAGACTCATACGATCTTGTCAAAAGTCTGGTGAGATGTTTTTGGTGATGGTTGGGGGGTTTTGGGGGGGGTGTTGGTGGTTGTTTTATTTTTTTTTTTTTTTTAAATTACAGCTAAAGTGTGTTTCCAGGGGCACTTCTGATTTTAAGAAATTTTCATCTGAAAGTATTTTTGTTCCAGGCCACTGCTAACGGATTCATAGGTTGATAGTTGCTGTCCTGTGACGCAGGAGAAATTGGCTTGAGTCCCTTTTCTGCCCGACTTCGAAGGTCGCTAACCATTGAGGAAAGAAACACATACACCTTACGTGACAAACTGCATTTCCTATAAATCCTTGGACAGTTTGGGGTTTATTCCAGTGTGAAGCCATTTCAGATCTCAAAAATAGTTACAAGCGGGAGCTGTTACCCTCAAGTCAGCTCCTCTCATGTGCCAGACTAATGTCAGTCTAATATCTTTAAAGCAGAGAGATAGATCTAGTATTTGTTTGCTGCTGGTTGGAGCTCAGAGAATCTGGGGAGCAAAGATGGATTTCTAAAGAACAAAAAGATGCCCAACCCTCTAGAAAATGTAGTGGGGAAAAGGTGGGTTTCTGGTGGGTTTCTGTATTGGCTTCTTTTGCAGTACAGTGTGATTGCAGGTCGTGGCGCCCTTCCCGGCTAGGCGGCACCTTAGACATTTGTATATTCTGCTGGAAAAGGAAAGCTCAACGTTCACCTGCAGAGCGCTCTGCGGTGGCAGTCAGTCGTGTTCAGAACTGGTTTAGAGCCTACGAACCACTTGGTTTCTCTCCTCTGGAGCTGTGATTGTGACAACTTGGTAACTCCTTTTCTCTTCCTGTTTCCCTCAGCCTGGTAAAGCCTATGCGACACTATACAGTCTTCCTCTCTGAGGACTCTTCTGATGATGAATTTCAGCAGGATGTCTCTGGCTTCTCTGAAAACTTTTTCTTCTCTGCTCCTTTTGAATGGTCTATCCTTTGTTCTTCCATTGTATTAATTCAGTCTTCGAACAACGGGTCTCGCGTTGGTCAGGGTGCTTGCTCCTACACGTGGAATTTTGGAAATGCTCCTGCGGTCTCTGTACGGTGCTTGGTGAATGTTCAGCGTTTCTCCTGCTTGTTTGTTGTGCTATGTAGCAGCATGCAAAAGCATACTCCTGCATGAAACACTGCAGCAATGCACAGCTTATGGTTTTACGTCGACTCAAGCTCTGTGGGATGTGACCCTTCCACTTACCTCTTGTTCCAACGTGCTGTTTGCGTGCCTGTCCAAACCTCCTGCCATTCTCCCTCGTGCAGTGCCAGCTGTGCTTTTTGGGCTGCCCAGTGAGCCTCATGTCAGTGCAGTTACTGGCTTTTTCTAGTTTCACTTGCTTAACTCCAGCCTCTCTGTTCTGTCTCGTACCACATCCTCAGTGACCGGGGAGGCAGGTGCCAGGCAGCCGTCCTCCGAGGGTTTTGAGTGCAATCTGACCTAAAATTGTAAAGGAAACAAGCAGCAGCTTGTGGGTTTACTCACTGTGTTATTTGTATCCAAGTTTTTAACTTGTAAATTGTTCTGAGTTCCCAACCCTCTGTAACTCAGTCTTGCCTAGTTTTGAAACCCAGTGTGGAGCAGCTTGGCCGTCTTGCACCTACCAGCCGGCGAGAACTGTCCCTTTGAGCACTGGCTGCAGGATTCTGCCGCCTGCCCGAGGTACCCGTGCTAGGGGAGCGAGCGTTGCCTGTCGGCTCCTCCTTGCCCCCTCCTCCCCAGGGGCCCGAGTGTATCTTGAGATGAGAAACACTGTCGTGTGGGGCGTGCACAGCGATCCAGCTGCACCAAACACCTCTTGCTGCGTACTTGAACATACCAACCCCGGAGGGCAGGCATGAGCTAAGGCCTCCCTGAATGTCATCCGGAGGATTTGCTCTTTCCTTGTGTCACCTACTTGAGGATTTCTAGGGGGAGAATGGGTGAGAAATTGCACAGAATCACACTCATTCTTTTAACAAATGCTGTTAGCGGCTTGGCCAGAACCCGTAGGAAGAGGTGCCAGGATACCGCGACCACGTGCGCCGAGATCCGGGCAGATCCGGGTGCCGGGCGGGGGATGCCCAGTCACACCTGCGCAGGTGGAGCCTGCCGGGCGCCCGAGCAGGGGGCTGCCCGCGTGCGAGCGGAGCCTGCAGCTGCCAAAGCGCATCGTGTGCTGCCACAGGCAGGACGGGGAAGGGACGTGGCTGAGGGCGGTGGGGCGCGGGCAGACAGACCCGCAGGTTGGGTAGCGAAGGGCCAGAAAACCATTCCCGTGCTCTCGTGCTCGGGGTGGGGGAGGCCAGGCCACTAGAGTGGTTTGTTAGCAGAATATTCCTCAGGGGTATTTTTGCAGTGTGATCTGATGCTGAGCAGATGAGCACGTATGATGTGAGAGACTAAAGATGCGGCCGAGGTTTACAAGATCACCCACTTCCGAAGGACATGGACCATCAGCTGTCTGTCTTGTACTTGCATTATTACGTTCTGGTGTCGCTAGCTGGCTGCCTGCTATTTATGTGTTGATGACTGAAGTAAGATGGGCTGGTTTTAATTTGCATGATACAGATATATTATAATAAAATATGGAAAGAGGAGGAGGGTTCTTCCCTAGTATCTGTTTTTTGCAGGTCTCACAAATATTTTCTTTTAATTGAAGCCGTGTTGAAATGCCACAGTAAAACTGGCTGCCAGTCAAATGCCAGTCACCACAGATATGTATGGCACTTCTTGTTATTAATTGGATGTGCATTATGCTGCTGTTCTCTGTACACAGAACCAATATGCAAATCTGCTGGTGTTCATTTTTTTGCTGAGGTATGTGCAAGAAAAGCATCCTGCTAACTCGGCCTTGGCTGTAAATGTAAAATAGGTGTCTCCATAATGGATTGTGTTGTTTCTTGATAAGATGACACCAGTGTAATCATTGGAACTCTGCACAGTGTTCCCAATTATTGCAGGAAAACACTGAATTATGTTCTGTGCTGAGTTAGCTTGAAGCAAGAGAATGTAAGTGCCTGCGAAACACAGGGCCCTTTGCGGTGCATTTGCTCTGACTTCTGAGCACGGCCGCGGTGGTCTGGCTGAGGGGGAGGGCCAGGCGGTCAAAATGAGGAGCTGGAGTCCTGTTAGTCCTGCTCGCTCATCAGCCTGTCTGTAACTGCATGATCCCAGCTTTCCTCTGAGTGCTTCCCACCTGTGTCTTTCCGTTCGGAACACCCCTCGAGTGTCAAGCCATCTTTGTGTGTCCTTCTGCCCTGGGCACTCTGCTCACACACCTGCGGGTCACAAGGCAATGTGAGCTGCATTTTGCCACCCAAAAGCTTTTTTAAAGTCATCCAGCTCCGTAGTAAATACTTGTTTTAAAAAACTAAATTAGACAGTTGTTTGCAACATGATTTTTGTTTCTCTCCTAGGCCTCAGCCATACCGGGCCCTGAAAGAGTCTGATAGTGCTGATGGGGAGGAGGCAGTCAGTCCTGAAAAATCAAGAGAACCTTTGCCTCCAAGCCCTCTGCTCTCGAGCAAGGCCGCAGAAGTCAACCTCCTTGAAGACATTTTCCCGAACTTAGAAGTAGAAACACAGCCTCAGCCCCTCAGCCAAGCTAAGAGCCTAGAAGACCTGCGGACTCCCAAGGAGGAGGGAGATCAGCGATGCACATTTGAGTACCAGGTTTGGACGGGGTTTTGCACACAACTAGGGCTGGCTGTCTTCCGTTATCCCCTGAGGAACATTTTCATATTATTAGGTAGATGCAGCCATTTTCCAGCCGTTTGTTCATGCGTTCCAAAGTTCATTTCTGAATTAAGAAATTATTGGAATGGGACTCAGCTAAGACAGTAACTTTTCCCACTAAAACTACAGCCTTTACTTCCAAAGGAGGAAATGTTTTCCCTGTCCCTTAGAATCTGTTGTGTCCAGTGGCTATCACAGAGTTACCTTTGAAGCTGATGCTCAGCAGTGAGAATGAATACCCAGGCATTTTCAGGTCCCCTCCAAACCGCATGGTTTTAAACGACGTTCTTTTAATCTGGCCATTTCGGTCTCAGCATCATTTGAACCATCTGGATTGTAGGAGAGAGATTCTTTATGAAGAACTTCGCTGAGTATGTTCAGCTTAGAAATCGCCAAAGTAGTGCAGACTCCGAGATCTTCATGTGACATGGAAGAAAATAATGTCATTTCTTCCTTATTTAATTTAGTGTTATATCCAGGTATTTCATTTGACAGCTTTTTCTGTACAGCAGATTAAGGCTTCTCAATTTCTCTACCTTAGGTATAGGTATGTGCTGCTTACTTGGCTAACAGCAGATGCCACAGTGTGTCAGAGCTGAACAAGTCCTTAGAGGCAGAGCTGGGGTTAAAACAGCAGAGTCCTGCTTCTGATTTCCCATCCATCCTTCTGCGCTGGATGCTGTTGTCCCTCTCCAGTGTTCAGCCTGTGGACAGATCCTCTTCCACCCGAGGCTCAGCAGCCTGCCTTCACGCTGTGCTCTATGCTGTGAGGAGGTCAGTAGAAGTTAACTACTTTTTTACGCTTTCTTGCAGAGAATGGATCTTGGTGTGCCTGAGAGGAGCAGGATTGTGCCAACCATGAAGCTGTCTCACCCTTACAACAAGCTGTGGAGTATGGGTCACGATGATATGGCTATTCCTACCAAGTATTCCCAGAGCTCACCGGAAAGGCCCTTGACTGCACTTGGTACCATGCCGCCAATCGCACGGAGACCCCGGAGCAGAGACAGCATTCTGGCTCCTGCAGAAAAGGATGAACCAAAGCCTGCCCTTCAAGGGAACATCACCATTCCCAGGCCACAGGGAAGAAAGACTCCTGAACTGGGGATAGTGCCACCACCGCCAGCACCCAGGGCTTCCAAGCATCAGACTCCAGCTGGGCCAGCAGAAATGCTCACCCCCCATGCTACAGGACGTAGCCATTTGGTTTCAGATCTGATCCCAGAGCCCTTTGGAGTTGGTAGCGTGTCCTTAGACCCTGAAATCCAGCAGTCTGTAAATTTTTCCTCTCATCCATCTCAGCTTTTGCCCAGTGCTACCAGCACCGCTGAGATGCTCCAGCCTGTCAAAGTGAAGACGGATCACGCAGGTAATGAAAGCGACTACCTTCTTAATCTCCTGGATCCGCTAAAAACAGCCAGCTGGCAAAGCAGTGGCCCACAGCAAGGTCCCCGCAGCCTGCAAAGCTCAGCCACTCCACCTTCTGCAGCTGGCTTTGTCTCGGTGGCAAGTGACTTTGCGCCTCCTCCAGCTGCTCCATTTGTCCAGCCACTTGGTTATCCTGCCCCAGCAGCCCCCTCTTTTTTACAGCCGTCTCCTAATCCGTTTACGCAGACAGTGCCAGGAGCCCTTTCAGTGTCTCTAGTTAGACCCCCGCGGGGCTCTTTCACCCCCTCTTTAGGTCATGCTTACAGCTCTAGCTTCATAACACCTAATTCTAGCTTCTACCCACCACAAAGACCTCAACCTCACATTTCAACACTATCCATGCCAAACTTGTTTAGCCAGGCCCCGGCTGTGCCACCAGCTAGCTCCTTACTGCTGCAGAGCCCCAGCCCTTCTCCAGGCAGCTCTCTGCAGCCAGCGTGTTTAAGCGGTCCTTCCAAAACCAGAACATTACAGCTGGGCCAGGCCAGCTCAAAGGTAGATCCCAAACAAGCACTAGCTCTCCTGTCTAATGAACCCCCTTTGATCCCTTCCAGGCCAGCTAAGGGCTTAGAGTCAGTGTTACTATCCTCAAAATCTGAGGAGACAAAAGATCCATTTGAAGATTTGCTAAAAAAGACAAAGCAAGATGTGTCACCCACACCAGGTAAGGTAGAACAGCTCAGAAAGCGATGGGAAACCTTTGAGTAACACTCCCAACGGCCTTTTGATGTCCCTTTGGAACTGACAGAGGGTGGGTTTGGTTTTTTGAGCCAGCATAAAGCCGAGCATTTCCTTTATGGAAGGCTGAGCCAGGATAGCTGCAGGACCATCGCCGTGCTGCAATTCACCCACGAGTGCTTTTTGCCCAGAGTTCAGAATCCCCCATTGGCCTGGTCCCCGCGATTGCTTCCTCCCTCTCCGCCACTGAAAACCCCCGGGACTCTTGCGCTGACCAAAGCGTGAGGGTCGTTGGGTTTGGGTTGGGTTGGGTTGGGTTTGGTTTTCCACACGTCACTTTTCAGACACTACTACTGATGCAAAAGTTACTCCTTCCCTTGCCTTTTCAGTCCTCGGCGCAGCCGGGAGCACGACACGGCACGTTGCACGGGTGGTTTTTTCCTGCCTGTGTGGATGGTGGTCGGTTTTTCTTGCGTTACACATCCAGCTGTCATGGTTTGCTTGCACACGTCAAGTGCAGCAACCAGCCCCAGGTTTGTGGGCTGTGCTGAATTAATCCATTAGGCTCAGAGCTGGTCCTGCCTGGAAACAGGGACATTTGTTTAGGTGATGCTACAAGATGAGCTTTTGCAGATTTTTAATTCCCGCCCCAGAGGCAACAGGCACTTCTGGTGCGTAATTGTCCTAATTCCTTGTTGCAACAAAACCGCAGCGCAGTGGCTCAGGGTTTGGTCCTGCATCTCTGTTGGGAAACTGGAAACACCAGCAATTGTTTTTCTTTTTTGGGTTTTCGTTTATTTGTCTGTTTTGTTAACTACATCGGAAAATAGAGGCCATCAAGAGTATCTAGTTCTTACATACGTGTATGCTAGTATTATATACAGCTGTTACAAAGGGCAGGGTATGAATGGGATGTTACAAGGTGACCTGATTCTTACAAACAAAAAAGAGAAAAAAATTGGGGCACGGAAGTTCCCAGCTCCTGGGTTCTGGTTCAGTGCCAGCGCGCTGACCCGACTGCAGCTGCAGTGCGTGGCGGCACCGGTGGGACCCGGAGGCCAGGCGGAGCGCCGGGAGGGCAGCACGGGACAGCCGCCCCTCGCGGCGGGACCTGGGTGGCGAGATTCGCTGCCTGGAAGCAACTGGGGTTTCATTCTGGCCTGCAAGGCGCCCAGCTCCTTCAGCCTGGCTGAAACACCAGAGTCTTCCTCCCGCTGTGGAGGAGAACCCTTTGCCGGTGTGACACGACGTGAACCAGACCGTGAAGTGGACTGTGAGGTCCTGAAGTACCAAGCTGCAGTGGAGAGGTCAAAGGGTACGTCCGTCCGGATTGTCAGACGCTTACCTGTGGCAATAGTAGGCTCAAGAAATTTCATCTTAACCTTAGCATCCCTTAGGAAACCCGCTGTCTTTGCAGTGATCACGTCTGTGTTACTTCAGTGGTGCTTTTTTGTTTTGTTTTGTGTTTGGGCACAATCTGATGTAGAACATGTTACTCTGGAAGAGGTAATCACATCACCATTAAGCCTTTGATAAAGGAAATAATTTTGGACACATGGGGAAATTCTTGTAAAGCTTTATCTGATTTCCAATGTATCTATTTTATTCATATAATCTTGGAAGTTTTCTTACTCTAGTGTATGGAAATGGCTGTCTATGCGTTTGAGTCTGTGCAATACAAAAGAAAAATACTCAATATAATACCTGAAATGCCAACAGTTTGGGAAAGACCATAGTATTACATTAATATTATATTTCTGTAAAGTACTGTTACTCTGACAGGCCATTCAGTTGGATTTGTATTTTCTTTTTGTGTTGGAAGACAGATGGTTTTAGTATTGCATAGTAAAATATCTAAAGTCTAAGATAATAGCTCCGTTTTATTTTGTGCGGTTCAGAATATGAACGCTGTGTATAAATTCAGTCTGGAATTTCAGATCTCCTTTGGTACGAGCTAGATGACAAAACCTTCTCGATGACGAGGGATGTGTGCAGGCACCAGAAGGTTCTGTGTGTGACGTGCTGGTTGAATTTCACAAGCTCTTTTTTAGAATTTTTAGTGTCGCACACTGGTTACCCACTGAGCAGGCCCATCGCGCCTGCGTAACTAAAGAGAGAAGCGCTCAGGTAAGTCTGTGGCACTGCAAATCACTTTCCATCCCTGCTCATTCTGCTCTGCCCATAGTACAGAATATTTTATGCAGCTGGTTTTTAGGCAAACACACGCTCTCGGATTGTTTAAGTCAGTTTTGAGGCACTGAGGAGCACCAACACTTAACACAAATGGCATTAATGGCCCTTCGCTTTATTTTGAAGGGGGAAGGTCGAACACACCTGTGATCCAGGGGTGCAAGGCAGCACGCTCCTGGATTTGTGACCTTCCTCGCCTCTTGAACAGCATTCGCGAGCAGGAGACTGTTTCACGTGCTTCTCATAATAAAGGAATCAAACTGTCCCCAGGGCAGTATTTAGTTTTTTGTCTTATTTAAACTCAGGAATTCCTGACATGATTCATTCCTAACAGTGCCAGATGGGAACAAAGTGTGCTTGCCTGGGAGAGCGAGCTGGGATGTAAAACATCTCTTTTTCTGCTGCAGACATATTTTTGATGGTTTTCCTAATCTAGCGTAAGAAGCGTTCCTGGTGCTCTTCATCGGTGACCTTCTGTTCAGCTTTGTACATTTTTGTACATGTTCCTGTACCCACCGGTCTTGTTTGGTACTGCTGTGCTTGCGTACAGACACTTTCTTCCATTAGAAATACCTTTTCTTTAAAAAAAACCCAACCAAACCCTCGTTTAAGTTCCTGACGCTGTACGGACGGTAAAGCCATCTTTGTGTCTTGTTCGCTCATTAGGTCAGAAACATTTTAGACACTGGCGGTGGAAGGTGAGGAAGGAGACGAGTTTTGTGGCTGCAGCCCCTTCTCTCATTACCTTACACACGCGTGTTGAGTACGAGAGTCTTGCGATTTCTCTGCACGTGCTGGGGATTCTTCTTCTAACCTGCAACGAACGGGCCACGCGGCTCAGCTGTTCCCCCCTCCCGTTTGCATGTTTGCGGACAAAAGTGACGGAGATTGAGGTCTGCCCAGTTTCTTTTCTGGCTAGGAGGGGGTTAGAGTCGGCCAGTACAAATGACTGCAGCGTTTCAGGGCAGTTAATAGCCCTGTAACCAACTGCAGGAAACCGCCCAGTCAGTGACACCCTGAAGAAAGAAGCGAGCGCAGCAACATTGCTTTTGTGCACCGGAATGCTTCATGTCTTCCAAACAGCATGTAAGTGATAGCCAGCTGCTTCCTAACCTGTCCGTTTGCACTGTAGGATTTAGTCTGGTCTACTTGTCATGTTTTGGGGTGGATTTTACTGTGTTTTGCTCCTTGTACACTTACCGTACCAGCTTTTGATCAAAGTGGTTTTTCCAGCGTCGGCACACTAAATGGGTTAGCAGTGGACAAGCAGCCTGTTAGTTGCTGCTGCTTACAACACCCAGGTCTGGAAAATCTTTTTTTTTTTTGTACTTTGCTTCTACCTGTTGGAGGTTGATGGCTTCAGGTATTTCCAAAGTCAACCAGCAAAGACAAGAGCTGCTGCAGTCCCACCCAGTCCCTTGGGAATGTGGCGATGTCCAAGGCCAATTTCTGACGGTGGGAACTCCCAGGTTCCACTGCAGCCGAGCGCAGGTCGGTGACAAGCCTGTACCTGTATTTCGGAACAGCATCATAAACTGGAAGTGAGTTTGTGATTGACGAGTTACAAACTTGTGCGGAGTCGGGGCTCTGGGTCATCCCGCCGTTCCTTTACTGGGAGCAGACGGACGGAGCGAGGGCGTCTGACTGTAGGTGGAGCTCACTGTGCGGCTGGAGCGCCCAGGTTCCTGTGGCTGGTTTGCTGGGGTTCCCAGAAGGCCGGGGAGTTCCAGGGACATAAACGGGATTGTCCGCTGGCTTTTGGAAACCGACCCCACGGGTGGTCTCGGCACATTATGCTCTGGCGTGCGCTTTGATGACCTCTCTGCTTTCAGGCTCCCCAGCCAGTTCGATCGCAGCGGTTGGATCGCGCCGCGATGCAGCTCCTGCCGTGCGTGGCAGCGGGGCAGGGGGGAGCTGCCCACGCTCCGGGGCCGTGCGCTAGTCCTGGGCGTAGGCTTTCATCTCGCTGCCCGCCGACAGCCCCAGCTCCCGGCAAGCCGTGCAGCCCGCTGAGTGACACCCGAGTCTTTGCTCCCACGTTGTACCCTCCTCTCCGTCTGCTGCTCCGACTCACCAGCCTGCTCGCACGGAGCTCGGCCGTGTGGCAGCTCTCCCAGGCGGTAAAGACTGGCACATCGTCCGCTCCAGTTTCCTCCTTCAGCCGGAGATGGCCGTCTCCCTTTCCTCCAGGGCAGGACTGCTGCTGCTGCAGAAAGGGTCCTGACCCATGCAGAGGAGCTGGTGGCCGTTTCATGGCTCGACCCCCAGTCTGGTGTGTGTGTCTTTGCTCAGAAAATGAGGGATTAATGGCAAAAGGTAGCAGCACAGCCGGCAGCAGAGGTGAACAGCAAATGCAGCAGGTTTTGACAGCCCCTTCTATGCTTCTACAACAGATTTTTTACTGGCTGTTGTGCAAATCTGCTTTGTTCAGGTGGGACAAATAATCATCAGAAAATTAATACAATTTTAACACTGAAAGAGGCATTGAGGTTCGTGGCTGCGCAAATTGTGTTACAGGAAAAAATCAGCCACCTGGCCATCAAGGTACTCTTCAGAAAAACACCCCCAAGTCGAGGTAACTAGGTCTATTTTTAACCAAATTTTATTGTAAATATCTTTTGAAGGACATTCTAATTTTTTACAAATTATAAAATTTACAATTACAAAAGAAATCAGCATCATGATCATTAACTACTGCAAATCCAGTTTTGTGAAAAAATATATTCAAAAATTAAATATCAAAAGAAAGTTAAGTTCATTATTGGAAAAAAAAAAAAACCTTTCATAAATTATTTTGCAGAAATGCTCAAGACACTGACAAAGTATTTTAACACTTTTGC